ATCGAAGGAATTTTTTCTGAGTGTTCGATCTTTGTATTAATAATTATCTAAATGGGTGTTTCTTAGTTAAATTATTAGAATTCAACCTATTCATCCTATTCAACATATTAATCGAACATAAAATGAGGATATCCGCAACTAAAGTAAAATAACACACTGTGCACTTGTGCACACAAGGTGGTTCGTACCACCTGGTAGGGAAACTATGGTTTAAATTATTGAAGGAAATGTTTGGATTTATAATAAAAATTAATACTACCGAAATCGTTAATTATATTTAAATGTAATTTTTTTACGTACACAACTTATTTTCCGAGGTACTAAACAAAGAGCACCACCATGCGCACTGCGCTGTCATGCCAGTGATGCAGGTGGGATTACGGCCAAGTGTTTGTTTTACTTTATATTATACTATATATATAATTGTTTAACTTTAAAAAAACAAGAGTTTAATCTAAATAATTTATTTTAAAATATTCCTAAGCCATTACATTTTGGTAATGCAGAGCTGTTTTTTATTTTGAATATAAAACTACACTAAACTATTATACATATTGGTGTTTTGCTATTCAAATAATATTCCAACTTAAAATAGCAGAACACCTGTAGATTTGACTTGTTTAAGTGGAATGAATCTACATGCTTACATTATTTTTTTATTCTAAGTTACAATCACTTATACTGATCTTTTTCTACTGAGAGTTATTTCTTGACTTACACTGTAATTAATGGACACAGAGAAATATTGACAAAGGTAAAATTACATTTACCCACTTAAATGATGAACATTGCAATATAATACTTTTAATTTTATTCAAATGTTGAAAAGGCAAATAAAGTTTCGTATAAAGGTGGTAGACTACACTATTCACATGACAATAAATCAGAATAGAGATAAATCATACAGAATAAATCAGTGTAAAATAGAATTAAATAAAGAATTTTCTTCCCTTAAACTAACATCCAGTTATGCATGCAGTTATGAGTTTTTAAATATAAATTCAAGTCAGTTTACACTAAAAAAGATGTTTAGATTAGACTGTAACATTAATTTGATTCTCCCTAACATTGAATGAACACTACAGATTAATAGGTATAAGATACATCAATCATGTTTTCAAGCTATGATTTGTATAGTTATATCACCTATAATACCATAGTTAATAGTAAAATAGCCTGGTAAAGTCAGACTTCATTAGATCATCATAATATAAAGACATTTAAACATTTCTAAAAATTGACAAAAGTGCATTCAGGCATCATCTATAGTAGGTAGCCAGAATGCCATGTTGGTACATGCTGAAGCTAGCATCATGAATTTAGGGTTAAACTGAACACACTGTATTGGTGCTGGGTGATCTCCATTGAGCACACATACTTTATATCCAGTATCTGCATTCCATACATGTACTCTTCCATCCGTAGATCCACTGAATATGTACTGTGAGTCAGGACTGAATGAAGCCTCAATAGGGATCCCTTTGTTGTTAAGGTGCCCTGTGAATGTCTGCAGTGGGGTGCCATGGTATGCATCAACTAGTCTAATTATGGAGCCATTTGTGCTTATTAACATTGTCTTCCCATCCCGGGAAAACTTTAACCCTGTCCAATCGCATTCTTTTTCCTGATTCAACTTGAATGTAACAAAAGGTCCTTTGTCAAATGACCTTAAATCATAAAGTTTGATGCTCTCAGAATTGACACCCGCAGCAAAAATCAAGCCTTCTGGATCATATGCTGCTACTGGCCTCCCTGACAGATGCATTAGTCCTTGACAATTAGGCGATCGAAGATCCCATAGTCGGAGTGTTTTGTCTAATGAACCTGATAAAAATGTGTCTTCTACAGGAGATAAACATAGTGTCACCACTTTTTTAGTGTGTCCGGGGAAATATCTGATGTATTTGTTGTCGTGTAATGACAAATATCGTATCGTATCGTCCACCTTAGTCGAACTGTGTATTGCCGTGTTTTTTGCGTGTGTAAAATGTATTAGATCAACACCATATTTCTTGCTGTTGACTGTTATCATTTGTGTGCCCTTTTCACAGTCATATATAACGATCTGATCATCTTCACTACACGATATCAATGTTTCGCCATTGGGAGAAAAGTCTATACTGTTTATTTTGTCCGTGTTTTCTCGAAATACCTTTGCAACTTTGAAACTCCGGACCACTTGGTCAACTAATTTGATCATTGTTTTGGTTCAATCACACAATTTGTTAAATATTTCTTCAAAATCCAAAATTCACATTGAAAATTGAAATCTCCATGAATTTACGACAAATCAGACAGACAAACGCACGCCGGTGAACATTCGTTACATTGTTGAACATAATACGGTGGCCAATTGTTTTGTAGCTACTTGGAAAATGCTCCTTTATTAATTACTATAAATCAGTGAGTAGTAAAATGATTATTCACTTAGGAAATAAACGAACTAACTAGAGTTATTTTTAACTCAACATTTCAATCGACTTTCCGCCATATAAACTTTCATTTTATAAAACTTAGCTATTTATCCAATAAATCGAACGTGCTCTGCGGTATTGAACTACTTATACGCTACCCTTGTCTTTCATATGTGAAATATAGCGTGCCGTCTTGTTGTCAAGACCATAATTGACATTTGAAAAGGAGTGGAACGCAGCTTTTGAGTACTACTTACAATTTAAAAAAAATACTTCGATTGAAACAAAATGGACGGAGTGTAATGGCGTTCCCTGTAATTTTATTAGTGGTGTGAGATATTGCTTGCAGTTTTATACGCTGAGTATTAATCATACAGTGGATGAAGATCAACAATTGATATTGCCGATATAATATTACAATAATTTTTAACTGTATTCTATTCGCAACTTCATAGAATAAAGTTCCTGGAACATGGTGTCCATTTTGTGATCAGCCTTGTTGTGTGGCGCTTCTGGTGAGTGCTGTCTACTTTTATATAAATACATTGCAGTGAAGCATTCGAGATCTAGAATTAAGTAGTGTATGTATGATTGATTAAAATTGTTAACTTGTGCGTAGATTTATTCCGCAAGTTTGATGCGGTCTTTCCTTGCTATTGTCAGGTTGTCTTGCCTATTTTTTGATATATCATAATTCGATCTGAAATGCTTCAATTACCTAACTTATGCATGTAACTTAAGCTAGACTGTAGAATAGATAATATTGTCTGTAATATTGTAATTTGTGTTCTAGGCTCATTTAAGCTTAATGTAATTGTTTTCTTGTGAAAGTACAATCTAAAAAACCTCGTCACCATGTCGTATGAACGAACTAACAGTAATAATTTGTGTAGGTAATGCGACTGTACTACCATTAATTTCGTAACCATTAATGTTCGTTGTCTGAAGAAAGGATATGATATGTTTACTCCACAATTTATAAATGTGTGTATTCTTGTGGTATTTATTACAAATAAATGATTTCATTCACTTAAGTATATATTATGGGTACTCATACAAACATAACTACTTACATACGAGTATTTATGTATAATGTCATATGCTGTGTTCTTGTTCAAGATCTGTATCCTTGATTAAACCCTACATTGTATATCATATCAAGAAAATAATGTTTTGAAAATGCTTATGTAGCTGTAGTGATGTACCTGTTCATTAAATGATGATATTTTTGAAGTGCATGATTTGCCTGATACTAATAATATAAATACATATTATGTTATCCTTGAGACACTACATTGTTGCTAAGTGCATTAGTGAACAAAGGAGCTAAATTCAAAATTAAGAAATTATGGCAAATTTAATATTACAAAATAAATTTTCATGAGTGTGTACCTGTTACCTACAATGCACTGTTAATACTTTTATTTACTGTTGTTGTGCCTACTGCACAGAGACAGTAACTAATGGTTTTTTTTTTCAAAGGTCAATCACCCTGCTGCCACAAGTTCTTACGCATTTTGTACATTTGTTTATATTCTATCTTGTCTTGAGTTATGTATTTGTTACAATATTGAATTTATTAGTATCCTATCAACATCTGAATGTATTTATGTGATGACTTAAAAAAGTTGGCAAAAATAAAATTAAGCACCATTATATCTAGAATACATGGATCTCTTTTTCAATTACCGTCTAAGGTCTGTTGTAAAGAAGAACAGAAGAGAACTTCAAGTGTTGATTGCAGAGCCTTTTTGACAAGAAGAAGATTGCTGTTTGACTGAACGGGAAAAGTTGTATCGCTATATGTTGCTTATAGTCATAAGCGTATAGCTTTTCCCCTTGGTCTCACACGCACCTGCTGGCTATGATCTCAAAACTGCCTTCTACAAATTAAACCTAAAAGCTATATTACTGTAAACAAGCAATAATAGTACACAAAAATCTCTATGGAACATGCATTTGGTTGGTGTACATATGGATTAAAAATTAATAAAGTTTTTAGCAGCCATTACCATATAAAAAAAATATTTTGAGTTTTAAAATGATCCATCTATATGGATTTAGTACTCTATAGTACTAAAAATGAATAATCTCTTAATAAGAGCCATTGCTAGGGAAAGATTTTTTATACATTGTCAAATAATAAGTTCGTCTAAAATGTAAGTAAAATAAATAATTTCATTATTGTTAAAATTATTAAATTATGCACAATAAAAAGCCAGCACTGTTGTTTGGCTTGTTATCTATTAAGACTATTGAGAGAGCTAACATTATTTAGATGTATAGATTACCTACTGTGTAAATATCCAATAACTACTTTTAGATGTATAAATATAGTGTTTGTATTCATTGCTTTTTTATTATTTTGTTACTACAAAATTGAAAACAAGTTGCTATATTATGTACATACACACAGTAACAGCATACATAAATAATATGCATGTATGCTGTAATTATGTCAAAACGTGTCTTTGTTAAATTTCTGGTGTTTATTTTGTACACTAAATTTAATATTAAGATGGTTGTTGTTAGAATAACATTTTGGATAATTTCTTTCCAGTGTAAAATGGGAGTACCAATTCATCATTGGATTCCTGAAGGAAATGTTATTATAATTCACTCTTAAAAGAGTGATGGACTCATATAATATATTTGGTGACGATGGAAGCGGCATGTTGGAAGGACTTACTGATCTTGGAGGATCAGATACCTTTGCTAGTAACTCATCATCTGGAGTAGCTGGGGACAATAAAGATGCTACAGATAATAGGTATTTGTCGTAAGTCGGAAGAGATTATTATAGCTTTGAATAATCATACATTATTTTTTACCTCCAATATCAATAGTTACAGGCAACCTTACAACCAAGGCAATGCTGCCCAAGAAGGCTCTATACAAAAGTTGCCTCCATTTGGAAGCACAAGTGGAGGTGGAATAACAGGTGGTGCTCAGCCTGTACCAGCCCCGGGTGGTGGCCCAACAGCCCCTGAATACCATGACTATGGAGCTTATCCCCCTCGTCCTCGAATGCCCCAGCCGCCTCATGGCCCTCCACATGCGCCACTCCATCCTCCACATCATGTCCATCCATCACACTCATACCCTGGCTACCATCCAGGACCTGATCCCATGTATGGCATGCCTGAGCAACCAGGTTAGTATTGTAATGAAGCAACCTGAAACATTTAACACCTAATTTTTTAAATCTTTGAAAGTATATTGTTAAGTTAAATTTTCAGGACTTGGAGATATGGGCGGTTGGCCTGGAGCTCCAGCAGCTAATAGATATTCACCTATCACACCAGGCTACCGTCATTCCTATGAACATCAACAGAAGATGCACCAGTACCCACCACAACAGGTACATTGAATGATCTCTAAAAATTTGGATTTCCACAACAAAGGTTTATGTTAGGTAATAGAAGGTTAATATATGTTTGTTTTTTGTTTCAGGGACCTGGTATAGGAGGAATACAAGCCCAAAATGGTGCTTATTTACCCAGACAACCACATTTTTCTCAACCAACATCTCAACAATTATATGGGCAGCAGCAGGTAACAACTGTTGTTGTGCAGTGTTTTCATATCTTTAAATTTAATTATAAAGTATATAATTTGATGATGTTTGTTTTATTGATTACAGAACTACCCCAATTACACACAGATGCACCCACCAAGTGCATCTAGGATCAATCAGCATCCCACTTATCATCAACAAATGGATGTAAGTCCTCATCAATATGGATTGTCACATGGGCAGCAGAGTCATGGTGCTATGCCTCAACATCAGTCGCATCAAAACATGGCCTCTCATGGAGGAGGGATTGGGTCAGGGATTCAAGGGCATCCAAGTGTTCATTTGCACCACGCTGGAGCCCCACCTGTGCACCACTTGCCGCGACAGCCGCCGGTGCCGCCATCATCAGTTACTCCTTCACATCCAGTTCCGTCACAAATGCCTTACGCGTCGCCACATCACTCTGTTTCCATGAATTATCAATCTCATCAAGTTCAACATCCCCTTGACGTAAACGTAACAAATCAGTATGGTCCAGTAAAACCTGCAGGTATTGAAACAGGCAGCCCTCAGTATCGCCCACCATTCCCACAATTATCTCCTCAAATGTCACCTAGAGCTCAGATGTCTCCGAGACAGCAGCCGCAACCGCAGTTGTCGCCACGGCCTGTAATGTCACCTGTAAAAGGCCCCAGTGCGTCACCGCACGGTTCCCGCAACTTAGTACAATCACCAGTTTCTTCAGGGCCGCCTTCATCATCTAGTCCATTCACCTCTCAAAATACCCTACAAGCACTAGAGCAAATGGTTTTACCAGCTGGCGGAGATTATACTTATCAGCGCAATCCAGCTTCTCCTGCAGTTGGTCATGTCGTATCGTCACCTTCCCAATGGAATCAAAGTAAGATGCAAATACCTGTAAGCAATGTGACGCCAATGGAGAGTAGTGAACAAACTCTTAAACCGCTTGAAACTCTAACTCCATTGCAGTCTTTGAAATCAGATATGAGTAAAAATATGCCAATTCCTAATACTGTGACTAATACTGACACAAAAAGTACTGATAAAATTCAATCGGATGAAAAACCTAATGATAGTATGCATACATTTACTGTACCATTGAATGTCAACGTTTCTAAAGAACTGACTCCAGGTAGCACTTCAAACACGACTATGGTTTCCGGCAACTCTGTGAACCCACCAAGTGTTACAACCGACGCATTGGAGCCGCTAGATAAAAAAACACAAGAAAATAAATCCAACGAGAACAATTTGCCTACAATCAATGAAGACGATCCTGTTAATAAAGATTTGAACAAAACAGGAATGAATATTCAACAAGAGGACATGAAAGAGCAGGTTGTGGAGACCTCCAGGCCAGGCAACAATGACACTTTGATGCCTCCAAACAAACCTTTGCCTGCAACTTCTATGTCCAATGCAAGCACTCCTGGCGATAATACATCACAATCAATGCACATAAGTCATCCACCATCTTTAAATACAATATCTAATGTCACTAACCAGTATGAGAATTTACAGACATTGAATATTGGTAGAAGTCAGACCTATCAAAGTAATAATATGCCAAATGTTACTACTCCAATACCCAATATGATGCATCAAGTTCCACAACCCAACCTCCCACCTTCCAATTTACCCCCATCCAGTCTTCCGCCATCCAGCGTCGCACAGACGAATCACCCGCCTTCTAGTCTTCCACCGTCTAGCCTCCCACTCGCAAGTCTCTCATCTTCCACACTTCCTCCGCCTAGCTTACCTACATCCAGTGTGCCAGCATCTAATATACTGAATGTGCCGAATAACTTACCAAGCAACACAAATCATAATGTTCCAACCACTTTTCAAAGTGGGCCAACTTCGGGCACACCTACTGCATCGGGTAATATTCCAATGCAGCATCCAAGCATTCCGAATTCTGTGTCATCGAGTGTGCCTCCTGTGCATAATTCTCAAGGCAATTTGCCTGGCATACCACCGACGATGGGAAGCATGCAAAACAATATGCAGCCACCTCATCCGAACATACCAAGTAATCTGCCTGTTCCTGGCAATATGCCTCCAGGTAGTACACCTACTAATAATATGCCTCCAGTAGGTGTACCTATGGGAATTCAATCCATGCATCAACCCATGGGTCCTAACCAGACTAATATAATGGCGAGTATGCCGCACAACATGAGTCCTAACATGATGATGATGGGTCCTAATACGATGCCACATCCTAATATGCCAAACATTTACCCACCATCTCACCATCAGGAGAGGATATCTTTGCAACAGCAAATACAGGAAATATACTGTCTACCTCCCTCTAATGAAAATCAAGAAAAGGTAAGATGTCTTCAAGAAAGGTTGGCGTTGTTGCAACAGCACGAAACAACAGATAAGTGCAATGGAGGACCAAACTGTATGCTTCAGAATCCTGTATATGGAACAAAAATGGTAGAATCTCCTCAAGTCACTAGCACTACAGGAAGAGGCCGTGGAAAAGGACCGCCTAAACCGAGAAAACCTAGAGCTAAGAAAGAAAAGGTAGTTCCCGCTGCCCAACCTTTGGATCAATTACCAGTTTCTGAAGATTGCGTTACAGCTGGGACTGGTTTACTAAATAATTCGGAAATTGATCTTGAAACGAGTGGAGATATTACCAACTTAGACAGCAGTGCACTTTCAATGGAAGAACTAGGAGAAAAAGTGAAGAAACCGAGAGGACCACGTAAAACTAAAGAAAGAAAACCAAGGACACCAAAAGAACCTAAAGTTCCCAAAGATGGGGTTGCTAAACCCGTACGAGAACGTAAAAAACGTGAACCTCGGGATCCCAATGCACCAAAAAGAAAAAGAAACTCGAAGAAGGATGTATCTGAAGTCGTAGCTGATACAACTTCTTGTTATGATTTTATAGACAAAGAAGATGGTGACAGTAAATCACAAGATCAAATTTCTCTTAATAAGAGTACTGTCAGCACAGATTCTACAAAAAATACTTCCGAATTGGCAACTCTTGATGATTCTACTGTTACGGATTTCGATGATATTCCTGTTTCAAAAATAGCTATTAAGGATTTGCTTGAAGAAGCAGAAGCAAAACGAGAGTTGGATGATGATGACACGGATTCCCAGACTCAAAAGCGGAGGTCGAAGAAGAGATCTTCAACTGGTGGTAGTAGTAGTAAAAAGTTAAGTGGGAAAAAGACACCGGGCGGAAAAAGGAAAAAACGAGGTGGTATTGTTCCCGATTCTGACGGAGAACCTGACGATATGATGTCCACTCCCCCACCATCTCCTCCCGTAGAAGGCGACGACAGTTTGAAACGTCGTTCTGCTCGAAATACACAAAGGAAAAAATATACTGATGATGTAATGTTGCGCCTGTCGGACGATGAATTCACACCAGCAGCTCCAAAACACGATAAGGAATTTAAATCTGATGATTTTGGTTTAGACACTAAAGACAATAACCGTCCAGATGGGCTGCCTAAGCCGAACTATGTGTATGTTAATACTACAGAAGAAGATGCAATGATAGTTCACCATGTATTGGCTAGCAGAATGGGTAAACGAGAAATGAAACCAGAACCACCGATTGTTGAGCCTCAGCCAACATCTGAGGAAACTTTGCCAGAGGGAAACAAAGAAGATTCATATGAATCGAAGCCTCCTGTTGATAGTGAAACTAAAGAAGAAATTTCGACACAAGAGAATGTCGAGACAAAAGATAATGATAAAGATATTAAAATTGAAATCCAAGAGAGCGAAGATTCGTCTAATGTAGAAAAGACACAGAAAAGAAAAGAAGAAGAAAAATCAAACGTAAGCGCTCCTACCGAAAAGAAAGACGTTGATAACGAAAACTCAGATAAGAACAAAAAGCCAATTATGGTGGACGTCGAGGAATATTACGTCAAATATAGAAATTTCTCATACTTGCATTGTGAATGGAAAACTGAAGAAGAACTTTACAAAGGTGATAAAAGAATTTTCTCCAAGATCAAAAGGTTCAAGCAAAAACAGGCTCAACAAATGAATATTTTCGAGCTTTTAGATGAGGAGCCATTTAATCCAGATTACATCGAAGTAGAAAGAATCTTGGATATGTCTGAGAATCAAGATCCTGCAAACAACACTGTCGTTAAACATTATTTAGTGAAGTGGAAAAGCTTACAATATGAAGATAGCACATGGGAGTTGGAAGAAGATATTGATGTAGATAAAATTAAACAATTTAAGATCTTCGGTGAAATTCCTCCAAAAGAGAAATGGAAATATAAGAAAAGACCTTCTGCGGATCATTGGGTTCAACTAAAAGAATCTCCTCTTTACAAAGGAGGAAATACGTTGAGACCTTACCAACTAGAAGGATTGAACTGGTTGCTATTTTCGTGGCACAATAATCGTAACTGCATATTAGCAGACGAAATGGGACTTGGAAAAACTATTCAAAGCTTAACATTTGTAAATGCTGTTTGGGAATATGGCATACGAGGTCCTTTCCTTATAATAGCGCCTTTGTCGACTATTCCAAATTGGCAAAGAGAATTTGAGGCATGGACAGATATGAATGTGGTAGTATACCATGGATCCCAACAAAGTAAAAGTATGCTACAAGAGTACGAATTTTACTACAAAAATGAAAAAGGAGAGCCTATAAAGGAAATCACAAAATTCAATGTCCTCATAACAACATTTGAAATAATTGTTACAGATTTCCAAGAACTTAAATCATTCAATTGGAGAGTATGCGTTATAGACGAAGCTCACAGATTGAAAAATCGCAATTGTAAACTACTAGAAGGATTGAGGCAATTACACTTAGAGCATCGGGTTTTACTGTCAGGTACCCCATTGCAAAACAATGTAAATGAATTGTTTTCGCTGCTCAATTTTCTGGAACCATCGCAGTTTGCAAGCAGTGATGCCTTTTTGAACGAATTCGGAGCGTTAAAAACGGAATCGGAAGTAGTGAAACTCCAGGCGTTGCTAAAGCCAATGATGTTGAGAAGGTTAAAAGAAGACGTAGAAAAGACTTTGGCGCCCAAAGAGGAAACTATAATAGAAGTAGAATTGACTAATATACAGAAAAAGTATTACAGGGCGATATTAGAAAGAAATTTCAGTTTCTTAATGAAAGGAACAGCATCTGCTGCAAATATACCTAACTTAATGAACACTATGATGGAATTACGAAAGTGCTGTATTCATCCTTACCTACTTAATGGAGCAGAAGATCAAATACAATTTGATTATAAACAAGCACATGGAGAAGACAAGGCAGCTTACTATAAAGCTTTAATTCAATCTTCTGGTAAAATGGTATTAGTCGACAAATTACTACCGAAACTGAAAGCTGGTGGTCATCGAGTTTTAATATTCAGTCAAATGGTGAGATGTTTGGACATTTTGGAGGACTATCTTGTATTTCGAAAATATCCTTATGAAAGGATCGATGGACGTATAAGAGGCAATTTGAGGCAAGAAGCCATTGACAGGTTTTCGAAACCAGATTCAGATAAATTTGTGTTTCTTCTTTGCACAAAGGCTGGAGGTCTGGGTATCAATTTAACAGCAGCCGACACTGTCATAATTTATGATAGTGACTGGAATCCTCAAAATGACTTACAAGCTCAGGCCCGATGCCACCGCATTGGTCAACAGAAGATGGTGAAAATATATCGATTGATATGTCGCAATACATATGAGAGAGAAATGTTTGACAAAGCGTCACTGAAACTTGGCTTGGACAAAGCAATTTTGCAAAGTATGAATACAGCTCAAGGAGGCAAAGAAACGGGTTTAAAACAACTATCGAAGAAAGAAATTGAAGACTTGTTAAAAAAAGGCGCGTATGGAGCCGTCATGGACGAAGATAACGCAGGCGACAAATTCTGCGAAGAAGACATTGAAATGATATTGGCTCGAAGAACACAAGTCATTCAAATGGAATCTGAAAAAGGTTCTACGTTTTCGAAAGCCAGTTTTGCCGCAGCCGATCAAAGATCTGATATTGATATACGAGATCCTGATTTCTGGAACAAGTGGGCAAAAAAGGCTGAAATTGATACAACTGAAAAGAAAGAGGATGAAGATTTGATTGTAACGGAGCCTAGAAAACGTACTGTTATTAAACGATATGGCCATGACGATGGCCCGATGGAAATGTCAGACATGGAAGCAACTCCCGATTCTGACGAGGATGAAGAGGGTAAGTTTAATAATTTCTAATAAAAGGAAGACCTTATCCCTAAGAATTGTTTTATTTAATTTTGTATTTTACTTGCAGGTATAAGCTTGAGAAGCAAGAAGAAAAAGGATAAATTCGGCCGCAAAGGCAGACGATACGCAAGTGACGACTACATACCACGCCATGAAGGTGTTCCGATAGACGAGGAAGTTGTATATGGGTCTTGGACTAGATCGGAGTGCTTCAAAATCGAGAGGGGGCTGCTTACTTTCGGGTATATATTTCTTTGATTTCTTTAAGAGTTGATAGTGTAATTGTTGTGTTATACTTTCAGATATCACAAATCGATAACTAATATGAAAAGTAAACAGAGTTGTACAATGGAACTAGGATGTTGTTTTTAATGCACTTTATAAATATAATATATATATTTTTCAGATGGGCACGATGGGACGAAATTGTTGATAAAAACCAGTTTAGGAAAGGATGGACGCAACCAGTTATTGAAGATTGCGCGAGGATAATTGTAAGTCTTTGTTACTATTTTAATAAATTTTTACTCAAAACTGTTCTAGATAACACATTCGTTGTTAGACCACTGTTTTTATTATTATGATGACTTGCCATGCTAATACCGAGGAAGTTTTAGACTTTCACTGAGTTAACCAAAGCTATTCCTGATTTGAACTGCCAAGACTAATTACTGTTTAACTTTTAGAATATATTGAGTCACATACAAATATTTTCAGGTATTATATTGTCTACGTCACTACAAAGGCGATGAGAAAATAAGAAATTTCATTTGGGACTTAATTGAGCCCTGTGAAAATGGAGAAGTTACAATATCAAGAAATCATAGCGGATTGCATAATCCCGTTCCTCGAGGACGAAATGCTAAGAAGAAAAATAGACCAAAAGATGTGCCCAAACCTCATGACATCCCTAGGTGGGAGGACACAAACCATTGGAGCTCTAATGAGAAGTATGACTGTGAAGCTTATCTGGAAAGCAGTTACAAAAAACATTTGTTCCGACATGCTAACAAGTGAGTATTTTAATGTTTTCCAACATTATTATACAATAATATTTATACTTTTGACTAGGCATTGTACTCTCTAAATTAATTTTGGTTAGCAACTTTCAGGATTTGGTGAAAACATATCTTATATCCTATATGAATGTTCAAGGTGTGTTAATTATATATTATTGATTTTTAGGGTTTTATTACGAGTAAGAATGATGTACTACATCAAACATGAAGTTATTGGCGACTATGCAACACAAATTGAAAATGGCACTCATGCAAGGTAAGTAATCTTTAAAACTTGTTGATGGTGTTCATATTGAATCCAAATTTATTCAAAATCAAAATCATTGATTTGCTAGAATACATTTAATAAGATATAACCATTGACTTACAAATAAATGGACGACGGGTCTAATACAAAAACCACGAAAAAAATGTCCCAAGTCAACCTATTTAAACGTAGTGACATGTGAAGAAATATGAAAAAGCTAAAACGTTGAATTTAAATTGTATTGTCATTGCAGTACTGCCTAATTTTGGTTGCAACAATTGAAAGGTGCAAAAGAACACCATATTCAGCTTCTACTCGAAACTTGCCAAAATGCACCATATGTAGCTTCTAGTGAAAACTACTTGAACACAAGTATAATGGAGTAGCCTTTATTATTTATAAATAAGTTTTATACGTAAATGTTGAATTTTATACAATGCCATTTATTACGAGCTAGGGTGTCATACTTTTTTTTCTTGAGTTTCGAGGATTCTCGTACCCGATTTCTCGAGTTATTCGAAATTTTTTTTTAAAACCGTAAAAAATCAGCTCAGTCAACTATAAAACGAAATGTGAACTTTTCGAAAGTTGTTTTGGCCTGGGTGTTCTGAGTTATACCCCGGAATAAATTCCATCGTTCTTGACCCCAGGTTCGATTTCTAGTAGAACCAATTTGGGAAATGAACTTTTGTAAATTGGTTCTGCTCTGGGATTCTATCTATTGCTCTGATACGCATGGGGAGTATGTATAGAGAGTTCTCTAGTTTCAGACCAGGTGATTGTTTTACAATAGAATACCAAGACCAGAACCATTTAGAAAAGTTAATTTGTTAAATTGGCCCTACCGGTATCGAACCCGGGAACTTCTCATCCAGTGCCCACAGTGCAAACCGTTAGGCTATCAAGGTTGTACTATTTGTATTATTATGCATTGTTTGCATGTGGAAGCTACAAATTGCTTAAACTTTTAAAAAAGTCCTATTTAATTCGCACTGTCAGTCTGCTTCAATTACCTTCTTTGTTTCTTAAGTTGGTATATTTTGTCATTCATCCAACTTTTGATTTTTAATGCATTTTGGCGGTGTAAGATGTTCTCTGTTAATACTTGTCACTTTCTTATTAAGTTCAAGTTATGTTTCCTGGATAAATTTCTGTATTCTCTCCTTTCTATGCACAGTTCACTCATTGATGTAATCACATACCAAAGCTTTAATATTATGGTCTTTTATCAAGCTTGCATCAGCTCTGGTTTCCTTTCTTTTCTTAACCTGTTCGTGCATAGTACTGAAATTATACTGCGCTCAAAAACGTCACCACTTTTCTATATGCCGTAGTGCTTACATTGATTCAATATAATTATTACGGTTTATCACTGACGACGGTTGATTCCGTCAACAGGCATAATCGTACTGCTCATAGTTCTTGCAAATGTTTCTTGTGCATGAAAAATACGGCTATGACTGTGGTAGGGTATTTGCCGTTATGAGATAATTACAAAATTAAAATGCGCGATATTGATTGCGCAAGAGAAACGCTTTATAAAATAAACACTTAGGTACTAATTGATAATAATAATTATAATAACGCACACACTCAACATTGCCCCGCATTAGGGAAACCCTGTGTCGCGAGTGCCATGGACACACATATAGGCAACCACAAATTACACCCAAACTCACGAGAGAAATAAATGTAGGCCATACACATATTTCTCCCGAAAAACCTAAAAAATACTTTCGGGATTATGGAAATTCATGCAAACGTTATTTCGGGCAAATGTATTTTCGGTCTTCTGATTCGTAACCCCGAGCCGTAGAAAGAGTACAACAATATTTGAAAGTATTATTAACATGTAGTAAAAAATATTTTAATAATAACATTAGCATCAAAGCGACTCTATGAAATTTTTGTTCTAAATATTTCAAACGCTTGTGTTTCAAACAATTGAAATTGGCGTGATGAGTCTCGTTCAGTCTTTACGCAAGCAATGAGTCGGAAAGAGACAGTTAGCTATTTGATTATTTCGATTGCTTTTGTAATTAATATTTACGATTAATTGAAATATAAATTAAATACTGTTTATACTGATGCATAAAATAACACTTTTATATGATAACTATGATAACACAATGTAGTACTTACTGAAAATATGATATACCATCCTGTTTTTTCGTTTTAGTTGAGTAATTTTTACAAGGTTTTATATACTATTTTAACGCCCTGTAAGTTCGGACACTTTTTAGCGCGGACTCGACGTCCATTTATTTGTAAGTCAATGGATATAACATAAAGATTATTTATTATCCTTATATAGTATTTATTTATTTCGTATTATGCTGTATACGTAGTTTATTTGGGGGAAATTGTGACCTGAAATATATGGGCAGTTTATTTAGTCAATCAAATCTTTTTTTTAATGAAAACCAATATTGTTATTTTTTAGCTCTTTAGGCATGCGAGTCCCTCGCGGGGTGGACAGCGCTCCGCCGCGAATATGGTGGGACACAGAGTGCGACGTCTCGCTTCTGGTGGGCACTTACATTCATGGCTATGAAAATTACCTGGACATGCGCTCAGATCCCAAACTTTGTTTTGTAGACAAATTGGGTCCCCCTGATGACGCTGAATGTACTGATATCAAGTAAGTTTTGTCACAAATAATCCATTTTTCATGAACAGCTGTAACTAAGTATGGAGGTCTTATTTTCGGAACTTATGTTTTTCAATCAAATCAAATCAGATCTTGTTACGTACTTAACTTTGTAGTTATTACGAAAAAGTATTGGTTTCGTATAGATATTACACTATCTTATGAGATCACAGAATCACTAATACATTGATTGGAATCAATATCAATTCTTACTTTCATGCGATGTACAATGTATAGGGCTTTTATCCCGTACCCGGGACCGAAATACTCTCGGTTTCGAAAATATCGCGTCTCGACGATTTTTTACCATGAACAAACTCATCAATATTTTTTCATTTTATAATTTGAAGTTAGTAAAGAACTTCGTTAACACTTATATTTTGGCAGCCTAAACGGGTAGCCTGTGTGTATGGAAACCTACCTTTTAACCCGGCGGAAGTGTGAGCGGGTGTGACATACCCACCTCTTACGTTTTATGAGTGTATTTTTCTTATTAGCTATTCAAATTCAAAATCGCAGTGTCGCGGCAACCATCGATCGAGTTATACACTTGTCAACAGCGCTCGGGTATGTTGACGAGCTGGCGTCTACATTTCATGACAAAATTTTGCATTATTTTTTATTCGCAATATGGATGACACCATCGGAAAAATCCGGAAATGATTGTTTTACAACTCAACAAAAGCTGGAGTGGATGTTGTCGATGAAATTGTGTGATAGTTATAACGTTTCTCGTAACAGCCAGCACTGGTCCATAACCATACTTTATGGGTTGCTGAATATAGCTGCTCTTAACGCAAACAATTTTTTTTCGTGAAAATCAAGGAACACACTTCTTTATGGAATCGACTTTATCTGTAACTTAGGCTTGTTGGTCATGAACACCTGAGATTGCGAAAAGATAAAAAAAATACTCCAACATGTCGTCAACCGGGACCTGTAAAGGGCCCGAAACGTCGGTTTGTTTGAAAAAACAAATATACACGCGATTGAAATCCGGAAAAATGGTTCCATTTCCTATTCCAACATATATTTGTCAGAAAACCCCATCCCAAATATTCCCAAATTAATGATCCTCCGGAAGTGGAGATTGCCCAAGCAAGAAAGATCGAAAAACAAAATTCGCATGCTTCACCTGTGGTAAAGCCATATGCATGGCATTGCATGGAACAAGCATTTTTTTTTTGCAAGAACTGCACTGATTTCAATTCTAGCTCCTAAGATGTTCCTGAAAATATAATTAATTTTTTTTAAGTTTATTCAGTTATACAAGGTTTGTTTTATAAGGTTTTGTAGATTTTTTCATAAAAATGGTTTTTTTATTTCTTTTTGTTGATTTTTCAGAAATATCAAAATTTTTCTTTGAAAACTTAAGTATTTTTAATTTTCTGTAATTATAATATAGAAAGTGTTAAATTTCACAGATTTTTTTATTTATAATATATAATAAATATATAAACCATCTTATTGTAATTTGCAATAAAACACATTTAATCCAATGCTGTCTGTTAGATACATAAAGTTTATAGTATGCGGGTATGTCATACCCTACCACATAGTCTTTGTTACATTTAGTTACCACACTCCCGCCGGGTTAAATACTCTCGAAAATCTCGTTTATCCCGAGCTTTTGCAGAGAGGCAGAAAGCCCTAGTAGAGTATAGAGTATTATATTTTCAAGTAAAATTCATAACAGGAGTGAGGAAAGAAAAGTGCGAGGTAGTGGCGTCGGAGACGAAGACTGCACAGATGACGTATCAAGTGGTGCGGGCGCAACGTCGCCAGCCGCCTCCCCCAGACCAGATGACGATGGCACACAGAGCGGCGGTGGCGGCGTGTGGCCGTCTATGCAAGATCTTAACACTCGGCTACGAAGACTTATTACTGCATACCAACGGAATTATAAGCGCGAGGAATTGAAGTTGCAGCAACGGGCTAAGGTAGTATTGAACGTTAAAATTTAAGTTAGCCATTTTGTTTTTGTACCAAAGTAAGTAATTATGCTACATAATTTGAAAGAACTACCAACGACATTGATCCTTGGCTAAAGAAGAATCACGTGCACCAATTAGTTAAATTTATTTCATGTCTAGATACTATTTGAATGTAGATATACATATAGAAATGGGTTTGTTTGCTCATTTTGTGCCTTTTTTCACAGATGGAACGACGAGAGCGTATGGAGCAGCTCGCAAGGGATGAAGTATCTCAATGGCGATGGACACGCGCGGACGAAGAAGCTTTTCGTCGAACCGTCGCTTCCTACGGTGTGGAATTCGATCCTGCGACTAAAAGTCTACGATGGAGTCGATTCAGAACGCTGGCTCGTCTGGACTCCAAGAGCGACGACGCTCTTACAGACTACTTGAAGGCGTTTATGGCGATGTGCAAGCGCCAGTGCGGCCTTTCTGTCGGAGAGGCCGAGCTGCCAACTAGGGCTGATTTGAAAGCCGAACCCATTGGTGAAGAAAGGGCGATAGCTACACTAGAGAGGTAATTTATTGATAATGAAATTCGGTTAAGATATTTTATTTGTGTTTATAAAGCGATACTAACAAAATGTTTATTTAACAGAATTGATTTGCTGCGAGTGTTGCGTGAGGAGGTGGCACCGCACCCAGCGCTGGATGCACGTCTGGCGCTATGCGAGCGCTCGCCCGACGCACCGCCCTGGTGGCAGCCCTCGCGCCACGACAAGCTGCTCGTGCTCGGCGTCTGCAAGTCAGTACACACTTCACAGAGTGTAACGAGCTTACTGGCATTGTTCGTCCCTATCAACATTATTTTCCTTTTTTTCAGACATGGATTAGGAGATACGTACAATAAACTGTTTTGTGACCCTAAGCTTCCCTTCGCGGACTGCGCTCGGAAGTGGTATGCGACGCATAAGGGCAGTAGCAGTGCTGCGAAGACGACCGCGGCGTCGTCAACGACAACGTCGGAGTCGCAGAAATTATCCTCCGATGAGGAAGACAGGTCCATTCATGAGACAAAAATGTCGTTGCGACGCAGCAAGCGCACCAACCCCGAGCGCGACGACGATGACACGGACGCACTTTCAGAATTGGAAACACTCGCTAAACTGGGGAGGATCGAGGAATCTCTGTCGCCAGAGTATTGGTTTTCCGAGCGGGCACTCGAGACCCGACTCCATCACATCGCGCACGCCGTACAGACATCCGAGTGGCCGGCCGCGTCCGCCACGGCGAAGGAGGTTGCGCGTGGAGCGCACTCCGACGCACACGACGCGAAGCACGCGCAGAAGCGGCACATTGCTATTGATGTGGAGACGGAACGTGCCAAGCTGCACGCGCTGCTGTCGTCACCGGCGGCGGCCCACTCTTCTGGCCGCGATCCGCTGCGCGACGACGCGTCGAGCGATTCGGGCTCGCGCCGCTCCACGCCTGCGCCACCGCCTGCACATCAACGCGTAGCGCCCTCTCCCGCGCCTGCGCCGTCACCCGCAGCGGCGACGCCTGTTGACCTCTCTGCGCCGCTCGACCTTAGCGAGGTGCAAGACTTCTCTATGGGTCGGCGCACGCCTGTTGCCGCCGACACCGTCTCTTCGGCTGCCACGCCACCAAGAAGCAGACTGGACGACACGCTGTCGAGGCTCATGAAGAGAAAGAACGTGGTAAGGCTTTCATTTGACGAGACTTTATGTTATTGCAAGAAGGAATGCGTAACTAACGTTTATATTTTTTTTACAGCCTGCACCTGAACAAATTGTAGGAAAAGAGAAGAAAAGGAAAAAATTGGACGAAATAGTTCTGGGTCTGTCAGCTGCTAAAGCTAGTGGCCCGAGCGCAAGCCCGACGGAGCCGGTGCGCAGCCGCACCGCTTCAATTCTGCCTGATGTAACGGTCACACCGGCCGCCCTCTCCTCGTCCGCACAGGCTCCATCAACCCAAAAGCCGTTTTCTGTCACACTCACTAACGTGCCGTCCCCGCAAACGTCTAAAGAATCGTTTCTGCAGCAATCACTAGAGCAGAGTGTGAAAAGCCAAAAAACTCCTACTGTACCTTCTGCGATACCCGGAAAATCCTACTCACATGAGGCTAAGGTAAACAAATGGCTAGCGGAACAAGCGGCAAGCGTAGATACGCGCCGTCGAAGTCTCGCACCGGTTCTTGCTCCTGACGAACGTGTACCCGTAGTGCATCGTGTCACTGGCAAACGCATTACAGGACACAAAGCGCCGCAATTAAAACATCTGGCGCAATGGATAGCGGAAAATCCTATGTACGATATTGACACCAAATGGACGGAAAGTATAAAAGAGCTTGTAAAGTTACCTCAGGATGTCAGAAGCCAGCGACATTCTCCAATGCAATCCACTAGTACAATGGGAGAACGTAAGAAAGGACGCCCGCCGTCTCTAGACGCGGCGTCTGCAAACGTGCTGTCGTCTAGCTCCCATTTGAACCAAAACTTGGCAGGACTAAATCCTGCTCTTCTGGCAAGCTTGTCAAGCTTAAATGCATTTGACACGAAGACGCTGGCTGCAACCTTGTCAAATTTTGGATTTGATCAAAAGTTGTTGAACACTTTCGACCCGAAATTACTCTCGAGCTTAGGTAGTTTCGATCCTAAGAATAATCCATTACTGAGTTCCTTTGCTAGTATGCCCAATTTACTAGGAAACATGACTGGAGGAAACTTATTTGCAAATTTAGCTGGTTTAGGTCTTCCTGGATTTTCTTCGCTCGACATGAACGCACTCAGTGGCGCAGGCACTTCGACAGCAGATAGCAAATCCAAATCTAGAAAACCTACTGATCCGGGAAGTTCAGCGAGTTCAAAATCCACCAATTCACAATTTCCATTTGTTTTTTCTAATCCAAACATGCTTTACCCGCAGTTAGGCTTGAGTGGACTAAATCCATTTGGTATGCATACTGGGATGTCGTCGGCATATGATGCGCTAGGACTTCTGAGCAATAATTTGGCCGCAAGTTCTAGTGCGACTAGCTTACACAGTTCCAGTCATAGTTCAAGCCGCACTAGTACGAAGACTACCACTCCGCGTTCATCAACTGTGGTTACTAATTCCGCAACTTCTCGTCAACAGAAAGTTTCTGACCGACAACAAACGAGTCAGTTGCCGCAAATATTATTACCACCCGATCCATACTTGCTAGAATCTCTTTCTAAGCAATCTTTGAACTACGATGCTTTACTTCGTGCTGATAAAAAGAGTCGTGAAAGTGAGGGTCACGAAGCTACAGCAACTGATTTGTCAAAGGTGGATAAAAAGAAACAACAATATGACGCACTAAGAACTCATGTTCCACCAGAATTTGCGGCGGTGCAAGAGAAATTATTGAAAGGGGACAAAAAAGACATAGACATAAGTAAAATGTTGTTAGAACAAATGGCATCTGGCGCCCTTAGCGCTAGTCTAGTTAGCTCTGCTGAAGCTAAAAGAGCTAAAGACATTGATAAGGACTCTTTTGACAAATTGAATAAGCCCTCTTCTGAGTACGTAACAAGAACGTTGTCAACAGATGATGGCGCAGCTGCCATCTCACTGACTCACAAACGAACACATGATGAAATGGCTATTGAACCCGAAAATTTAGCATTGCAATCGACAGACCTGAATTCAGCAAAGAAGGTTAAAGAGACTCCGTTGTCTGAAGGTATTTCGAATCTAGAAAAACGATCTGATCATGCCACACATACAGGTGAGATGGACCTTGAAGATTTAATTGCGCCATCAACGGTAATAAAGACGGGGATGAAAACTAGTGACTTTGAAAATAATGTACCTAAAATTACTTCGAATGATAACACATCATCTCAAGTGAATTTGGAAAGAGATGAGAAAGTACAAGCCCTAAATCCTTTTGACGATTCTAATGTGCCTAGTGTCAATGACAATGGACAAAATATTGACATTGCAGGCAACAAGGTGGATGGTGACAACAACGGCAATGGCCCCCTTCACGACGAAGGTCATTCAAATGATACAGGAAGGAGGGGAAATAGAAAAAAGGGTCGTAAGTCCTCTGAAGAATCTATTCCTCCTGGCCCACGCCGTGAGCTGAGGTCTAGCTCTGGGCGACAATCGACTGAGACACAACACTAATAATATTAAAAATAGACATGGATTGAAAATTTTGTTTTGAATGGCAAATTTTTTCCAATGTAATAATACTCTAGCCCAAAAAGAACTAACACTCCGAAAATAACACAAAGTATAGATGGATAAAGAATGAAATTGATTGATAGGTTTTAATGAAAGTGATAATATAATGAAATGAGGAACGAAGTGAGGAATGTTTTTTTCAATCGACATTTATCGTAGGGGTTAGATTTAGTCATAAGTTATTATTCTTGTTAAAAAAATAGCTGTGTATAATAATAAGACTGGATACTCCACGTACGAATGATTTGTAACTTTATTTTCCGGAAACAAGATTTGATGATAATGTAGATAACGTGTAAGCAAAAAGTATTCTGCGTATACATCCCACATGCGAAATTTAGCAGAATTGTTACTATCCTAGTAACGTTTTAATCAATGTCAAAAATCAACAAAAGGGTATATTTATCGGATAGTTTATTGTTAAATTCTTTCATTGTAATCGCTGTCTTTAGAAAATCACTGATAAGTGCTAATCATGTGTTGATGTTAAATAATGAGATCTCTTGATAAATTCATAACGTAATTTTTAGCTTAATCTCAATCACTTAAGTCTGTTTTCTGTTATTATGATGCCCTGTAATGTTTAGATTAAGTTAGTTCTGGATGACCGAAAAGTATAGAATGTAACAAAATACCCTGTAAGAACCCTTCATCATATAGCACAAAGTTTTGTTTGCCAAGTGCAGTACCTATTCTTTTGCTAAATTCAATCATCCAGTTGTATTCCCAGTTTATATGTTAATTTTGATCAAAGTCATCAGTTTTGTTCTTTATAGGGGACAATTAATTATTTAGCAAAATTACAAATGGTTGGGTTATTTGTTCTTGTTACATGCTGTGTAATGTGAAATCCCGATTTTTTATGCTAGCGTGTTTACACTCATTTTTTACTGGAAAATATTGTTCTTCGTGGCGACTCTTTGAGAACTGTTTATTTTATATTTTGTAGTGTAGACAAGTAAGTGAAACACTGAATGTGATGAAATTTATTTATTACATGTATTCTTTATTATTTTGCATTGCTATATTGATGAATTGTATTATAGATAATTATGTGACAAATCGTAAATAAATACGAAACTAACATTTGCGTTTTTTTTGAACCCGTCACTCCACTCACTTTTCTACGTTACCAGTGTGCCTTAACTGGGTGATCATCTGATCGTAATAGTTATTTATGTAATTGTATAAAAGCTTCATTATCAAAAGCGTCCAATTCGTTCCTTTCAATAACTTTTCTATATTATTATTGCACGTAAACTATGTTATCGTTTACTTGATAATACGCATACACAGCCCCGCACTAGGGGCCCTGTGTCGTCGCGGGTGCCATGGACACAACTTAGTGCGGTAATACACGTCCGATTTCGTGTCTGATGGTAGGATCCGACTATCGGATCGGATTCACTCAATACACGTCCGATTCTTTCGTCAGACTTTTCTAAACTAACTGTAGTGTTACCAATTTATGGGAAATTCCCCAAATACAGGGAATTTCAACTCAACAAGTCTTTTGGGGATTTTGGATTTTGGATTACGCTATGTGGCGAAAATGCCCTAGCATTCTAGAATTTTATCATATTTTTGTTACATTGATGATCACTGATAAAAATACTATTTATTTGTTTGTTTATGAACGATATTGATATTTTTTTCAACATCGCACATGCGCTGCTTATATAGCAACATTTATATAGAATTATTAGCAAACCGCTTATATGCATAAAATTATTACATAATTATATACATATAATTATATTATATGTATATTATTGCATTGTAAAATTACTACTATTATCAGCCATCGACAAGAGCCTGGCTCTTAAATAGGATGATGATGATCAATCGATGGGAGTTGAGCGCGCGACTCTTTCTCGTTTTGAACGGTCCCCGGTGTGCCCCTGGCGGTGCACGGCCTGTCCACGTCTCGAGAACGGCCCGGATATATATGGATAGACCTTATTACCACAACTTGCCACTCGTCAAGCTTAAATATTAAGGTTTAAACTTAATTCAACTTGTTGAGTTTATTTCTAATTATAACGCAACGTATATGTAATAGATGGGCACATTTTGACTTTCTTAATTATTTGATATATTTTTAAGCGTAACAATAATAATATAATAAATACTGAGAATGAATAAATATTATTCCATGTGGGAAATATGACTTTTGCTCTCCCTAAATTTATAACCTTGATTTTTGGGGATTTTGAATAATTTGCATTGGCAACGCTCCAAATCGGAGGGAAGAATCCATCGAGTATATAACCAGAAATAGAGACGAAATAAGGGCCATATATTCCTGGTAATACATTAGCGATACAGCTCTTATAAATATCAACTCTCGTTTGCACTGAAATATAGACCATCTAATAGTCTATGATATAGACAGGCCAATGTGTACGTCTTCGTATATTCCAAAAAATATTCTGTATTTATTGTAATAAAGATAATATCTCTAACAATGCCGTGCTGTTCTATTCGGTGGTGTGGGAAAAACAGCAAAACATCTAATTACAAAACAAACGGAATCACATTTCATCGGTAATTAAATATTAAATATTATTCGGTATAATAAATCCTGACTTGAGCAATGAGTAGAGTTCTAAAATACGACCCTAATGGTCGAAGGTAAGGGTAGTATTTCCAGTGCTTGAAATCATACTCAGATCCTGACTCAAGTCAGGACTTGAGTATTGCAGTGAGCACTGAAAATCATACTCAAATCCTTGCCATTAGGGTCGTATTTCCAGTGCTTGAAATCATACTTAAGTCTGCTCAAGTCCTGACTTGAGCATTGAGTAGAGTTCTGTAATACGACCCTAAAGACGAGGGTTGGGAATATTTGAGATCGTCATCTTAATCAGTATAATAAATATTATTAGTACGTTACTTTTAAATTACGTTTATGGATAGCACTTATTGTTTATTATTCTTCGATTACGTTTCGTGTGAAATTGGTTACATAAATTAGTTTTAGTAATATATTATTTTATGTCTTCTTTGATTATATTAATAGTTATTCTTGTAACGAATACAATGAATAACTAATTCATGTTTTATCTTATCAATCTTTCATTGTAAGACCTAAACCTTCAATTATAACGTTATACATACTTAACGCCATAATTAATTTCATTAGTTATGCTTTTGTAAATACGACAACTTATAATACTTAAGTGCATTGTTTTCTTACAATTCCTTTTTTCCTGTATCTAAATATCATCCTGATGTCGTAAGTCATTCAATAATTTACATACATACTACCGTCACGCCTGTCTCCCATAGGGGTAGGCAGTGCTTTGAGTAAGACAAGCCCACTTTAGCCACGTTTAACAAACGTTTTTATTAAAATTTTAATCTTAGTGCACTAAATAGTGACAGGTTGCCAGCATGCCGCCTACATATAGGACACCATTAATCCCAGGCCCTCAGTCGGCTTTTACGATTTGCACGGAATCCTAAGCAGCTGATACGTTCTATGCTTTTCTTTTGCTTCCAGATCATCATGGGACAATTTGATAATTCGTGTATGAATATTATAGTTTTTATTGACTAATTGGATGCAGACTGGTAAAGGTGGCCCATCACTAGCTGTAAGTGCAACTTGAGTGCATTTCTAGTTCGACCTTGAACTACCGAATCAGAACGTCTTAATTGCTGTGTACAGAACTATAATGAATCTGTAGCGAGTACCATAGACAATAGAGTTTTTCGTTAAAACTAAAAAGAGCCCCTTTGTGATACAGTTTATGAAATTATAATCACGCAAAGTGACACTTTCTTTCTAAATAATTCGAATCCAGTTATGTAAATATTCCATTAATAAAGGATTGACTTGTAGTGGTTTTCACTCAAACTTCAAATATGGATCAATTCCCAAGATTGAAGACCCTGAATGTCTAGTTGAGAAGTTAGATATAAAATAAAGGCATTCGTTTCAGTCTGATACTTTGC